AACTAACCTACATCTCTAGATAATAACCAACCTACATCTCTATATAATAACTAACCTACTTCTCTATATAATAACTAACCTACTTCTCTATATAATAACTAACCTACTTCTCTATATAATAACTAACCTACTTCTCTATATAATAACTAGCCTACTTCTCTATATAATAACTAACCTACTTCTCTATATAATAACTAACCTAAACTAACCTACTTCTCTATATAATAACCAACCTACTTCTCTATATAATAACCAACCTACTTCTCTATATAATAACCAACCTACTTCTCTATATAACAGAAATATGTTACGTTTCTACGATGTGTAAAAAAAAAGAATTTATTAAATAACAACAATAAAAAAAATGAAGTTTACCAATTCAAGCAGGTGGCGGATTTTGATCAAAGGAACATAAAAAGATATAATGTTTATCGATCAACATATACAGGAAAACCTTTCGTCATCATTCAGCATACATTACAGAGATAAGTATATACTTTCTCGTCTCACGATACATATAAACTCATATCACTTGAGATTTCCGAGCAAAAAAAAAAAGAGGGGTGGGGGTGAATAAATTATGCTATATCTTGTCCAGAGTGGGTATATGACAGGGACATTTCGTTTAGGGGATGAGCAGAACCATAAAAATAATGTTTTTGTTTTATTTCAGAAGCTTGAAAGAAAATACGCCATTTATAATACACAGAGGGACGTACATCGTGCTTACTTCTCTTTAAATTAAACTGATTCGAATAAATAGTTTATGAGCTGTTTTGTGATTTATGAATAAGTAGTGCCAAATTGATTTAAAAAACAGAAAAGGCGGGAAACGAGTTTTTGTGTTTTTTTTTTTTAGAAACATCTTGTTTGCTTCGTAGTTGCTGGGAGTGGAGCCATGCTGCCAGTGCGTCAATTTCAAGAACGTTTCAATTTCTCAAATCCACAATACTGATTGCCTTCTTTCGTTCTGAAACGAACGTCAAAGCACGAGGGACTTGAGAGGTCTAAGAGAAAAACAAAACTACTAAGATGAATACAGTTGCGCAGTATTGTTTCTAAGTTCTATGGAAATGAATTGCTTTTATTATAGACGACAGGGATTTGCTCGTGTCAGAAAAAAAAAAGAAGAAAGAAATCCATTTAAACAGTGGAAAGATGAAGTAAAGGAATTACTAAGCCTAAACTCAGTTGTTATATATATATATATTCATCATGTGAAAAGAATCTTTTACCTAAGCCTCACGCTAACGTTTCCTTTTGCTATTCCTTCCGCACGTAGCTTTTGGTTAAATCGTACGAGAACGGCAATTTGACTCACTTTTTTTGCTATTAATCACGTTACAGCAACATCAAGGAGGCGCCAATAGATATTTACATCCATTTATTACGAAGAGCGTTTCTCTTGCATCCGTTTCTGCATCTTATTTGCTATGCTTCCACGTACTCGGCCATTACGCTAGTCTTGTCTTTATTTTTGTCCTCCACGTTCTTATGTGTTGGATATTGACATAAAGAATAATCCTTACATATGATGAGAAGCTTTGTGCTTTGCTGAGAAGAAATTACTGTTGCCCAGTGGGAATGCAAAGATAAAAAATAAATAAATTGGGCACGTGAATATAACCTTTTGAGAGGAACAGACGTATCGTGTGTTTGTATATATATATATATATATATACAG